CTTATTTTCTTGTTGTTGGCTCCTGCCCTTTTTTCCCCTCCTAATTTTTTACCTTCCCTGGTGTATTTCTTCTCTTGGCATTCATGGAGTTGTATTCCTTATTGTCTCTTTCTAGAATGTCCTTCAGAATATTTTGGAGTGCTGGTTTGGTGGTCACAAATTTCCTCAGATATTCTTTGTCATGGAAGTATCTTATTTTTCCATTAATTTTGAAAGATAGTTTTGTAGGGTTACATCATTCTGGGTTGAAAGTTGTTTTCCTTTAAAACTTGAAGTACTTTACTCTAAGCTCTCCTTAACTTGAAAGTATGTGCTGAAAAGTCAGCTGTAATTTTGATGGGTTTTCCTTTATAGGTGATTTATTTATTTTCTCTAACAACTTTTCAGATTCTATTCTAGCTTTGAATTTCTGGAATATTGACTATGATTTACCTGTTTGTAGATTTTTTGTGATTATTGCTAACTGGAGTTCTATATGCCTCATTTATGAATGTCACATTCCTTTTCTCTAAAGGAAATTTTTCTTTCATGATGCCTGCAAAGAGCTTTTTAATGTCATTTGTGGTATCTCCTGCTTGTATATTGACTCCAATTAACTTCTTTGTTTTATCTAGCAGGTGCTAGATTGATTTCTCATGGTCCCTTGCTAGCCTTAAAAAATCTTTTTTTCCTGGTTGCTAACTACAAGCTTGTCTTCAATAGCTGAAATCCAGTCGTCATTTGCCCTAATCTGCTTCAAATATTTTCAATGGAGTTTTTATTCTCCTTGATATCTGCTTGAATCTGCTTTATGATTCTGTTTCCTTCCTATGCTGTGCTTTTATACTTTTCTTAAGCTCATCTATTTTTTTTGTCTGTGTTTGCTCTATCATTGTATATTTTGGTAATCTTTGTAGTTCATTGAAAGATTAATTCTGATTTCATTTTTCCAGAGCCTCATTCAATTTTTTTTTTGTTTCTACTTCATAGAGGCCTGGTGGGGGACTTTGGATTGTCCCACCTCATCAATCCCTGAGTTTGCCTTTGGTGAACTGGATGTCTGGGGTTGCATTTTGTTCAAGTGTCTTCACATTTTATTTTGCTCTTTTGTAAGTTTGATTACTACAGTGATTCTTGTAGGTTGCCTATGATGGGTTGCTTTATTATTAGTATTTAGAACGTTTAGGTGATGATTATGTCTCTGAGGTATCTTCCAGGTGTAGCTAAGTCTGTTATAAGATTTTTATCTTCAGTTTGTTGGAGATGAGAAGTTGTTGCTTATTTGGCCTAGTTTCAGGTTCTTTGGCACTGTACAACATATTTTCTGTAACCCTTAGTTAATCTCAGTCATGAATTATCAGGCCCAACAGCTGGTTAGGACAACTGTGTCAATTCTGACTACAGTGGAAATAATATCATCAAACACAGCCTAGAAAACAAACAACTGAGCTAATCTTTAGTTTGCAAATTTTAACCATATAAACTAGATTTGTCATTACATAACAAAATGTCAAACAAACCAGATAATTATATGCTATATAGAGGTCGGTAATATGTCAATTTTATCTTCAGGGCTAAATTTTAAAATAGATTGGGGAGAAAATAGAAAAGTGGAAGAAGAGAAAGAGATTAGATGATTGGAAGTCAAAGGGGGATTATGCAATTTGGGGAAACTGGTGCAGAAGACTGAAGGACAAGAGATGGTAGAGGGCCCAGGATTTAATTCAGTGGCTTAAATGCCTGCATGGGAAGCATGAGGTCATGAGCTCAATCCCTGGTTCAAAATGAAACAGAGAGATGGCAGAGATAAAAAGAAGAATAAAACAGAACCACACCCACAATGAGGCTAGGAATCACTTTCGCACTCAAAGAAATACAATGAAGGCGAAAGTAAAAAGAAAAAACTGAAAAAAAGAAAAAAAAAGGAAAAGAAAAAGAAATAGAACACTTTAAGGTTCTCACTGGTTTCACTTGTAGACAGCCTGTGGAGACAGAGTCCCAAAGCATGACAGTCTATCCCAGCAATCCGGTAGTTGCTTTGTGTCAGAGAACTGGATGATCTTAGCAGGCATGCCCTGAGACTCGACTCATTGAGACGCTGCAGCCCAAGCAATTTCCATGGGTCTGCACCCAGATGGGAGCTGCTAGAGTTAGCTGCCACCAGTTTTGGGTTCCAGGCTTATCTGACCTATCTTCAAAATGGCTCCCAGCTAATTATTCTCTCCTGTGGGAGGACTGAATCCTCTGTACTCACCACCAGACAGTGCAGGCCTCCACATCTGCTGCTCCTCTCCACTGCCTTGTCTCTCTGCAGAGGCCTCCTGGATCACCAGCTATCCTTTTCACCAAGACCATGTATCCCCAGGTTCCAACAGATGCTCTCATGTCTCAGGAAGGTGTTGCCAGCTACCATTTTCTTTGTTGAAGTTTTTCTTTTTACTCTCTCTGAGGGCTTCAATTCATACTTCTTCCTGGGTCCAGGGAACCAAATTCCTTCCTTCTTGTCTTCTTCACAATGCTATATTCCAGTGTCTGGATAGTGCCTCTCAGAGAGGCTATTTTCTCTGCTGCTCACCACTTCATCATCTTCCCAAATGTCCTTACATAGGTTTTTATTTCTGAATATTATCTCTTAGGTTTTGTAAACAATTACACAGCTGATGTGAAAATGATGATGTTTATTCTAAATGTTCAGTACACATTAAGAATATGTTTTTTATTAATATTTTATGTTTCTGTTAACCACCTATTCCATAATATAATAAAAACCTCATTACTACTCAGTCATAAAGAAGGATAAATGGGAGACTTTTATAGGTAAATGGATGTCACTTGAGATCATACTTATAAGTGAAATTAATCAGACCCATATGTGTAAAAATTATATTGTCTCACTAGTGTGAGAAACTGAAAAAGTAAATAGGATCCAAGATGTACAAGAGATATTGTGATTAGGAAAAAAACTGTTCCAAAAAATGAGAAACTGTTACCAGGGAAAGGAAGAAAGTAAAAAAGAAATACATACATTTCTTTGCTTACTACCTGAGTGTTGTTTCCTCAGCAACACTCCATGTTTCTGGCATGTCTAATTTCCTGGAATCTCCAATGCACTTTTGACTTTGTTCTCACTATTTCATGTACTGCCTCTCAGAGACACATGGCTTAGAATTCAAAGACTTCTGAAATCTGGGTGAAAGCATCCCTATACCACAACTGTTGCACTGTACAGCCACATAAAGCCAGCTCCACATGGTCAATGTCAAGATATGCTAACAGGTCAAATTGTATCTAGATTCCCTTAGATTATGGCTACAGAGTACCTGAATAGTTGTTCTCTGGCAATCTCCTTCCTAATTGGACACAAATGAACTGAGGTCCCTAAGATTCCCTACCTAAAGCAAAGTTTTTCACTTTTGCACCTTTGAGCTTGCAATGAAAGGTCTTGTTTACTCCTGAGATGTCCTCAAACCACATTTCCTATTATCTTCATTAAAAGTACTTGATTTTTTTTGTGTGTTAACCTTTTAGATAACCATTTCTCTGTAGGCCCAATTTTTTCTGGGTACTTTTTGATACAACTAGAAATTCTGAATATTCTTGGGTCCTATCTTTTCTCCTTATTCTTAAGATACATCTTGCTAAAAGCAATGAGCAATACATAAGTCACAGTCTGAATTTTGGAGTGCTTCCTCACCCAGATAAAACAGTGAAGCACTCTGGATCTCAACTTATTGTAAGTTCTCAGAACATAGACAAAATATAGACAACATGTTTTGCTCCCAACTGCATCCTGTTGAGCTTGGTCACTGCCATCTTTATTTCTGTCAGCATTATGAGTTCCAGAACTCTGACCAAAATCTTCCACCAGGCATGGCTTATACCGTTCTATCTTTCCTTTAGCAGGCATTTCCAAATCTTTTTAAACTTCACCCACCAACTCTTTTCAAAAGTTACTAAATCGCATGGTCTTGTACAGTTACAGCAGTGATCTCACTCAGGCGTCAAAATCTGTTAGTCATTCTTCTCATTGCTAAGACACAAAACCCAACACTGACAACTTGAAGGAGGAAAAGATTATTGTTGCTCACATTTTCATTCCCTGATCAGATGTCTCCAAATCACAAACAACAGAGCAGCCAAAAATTCAACAAAGATATAATGAGCCAGGGAGAGATATGTATCCTTTCGGGTTACAACTCCAGTGGCCTTCCCCTTCCAACCAAGATTCACCTCCTAAGAGAAGGTCAGCTATAGTGACCCCATAGTCCCATCACCCTCCAAAAGGCCCACTTTTGAATATATCAATCTATAGGGAAATATTCTAGATTTAAACAATAACAGACTCTTTAATCCTAAATAAAATAAATCAGTTGCATAGTTCACCTTATGTCAGAAACCAAAATATAAAGGTTTTAAAATGCAAAATAAGAGATAGATGATTAGAAATGGGGAGGTAGACTTGTGGAGATGAGAAGGCGATCTAGGAATGGGTGGACATTGGAGGGGGCAAGGAAAAGGGAATTAAATATTATTAGGTTCCAATATGTATAAGTACCAATCCCACAAGGTGCTTGCAATTACGTTTTGCAAACATATGCTAATAAAAAAGAAACAAAAGAGGAAATTGCCAGGTGGGATCCTTAGTAAATTTAAGCTATTTTCAAAGTTTGTGACTTATCTTAAAAAGTTATGTAAATTTTGCATTTTTCTCTATATTGAATTCTATTTTAAATACATAATGCATTACATTACTTACTATCAAATAGCATAAAGTTTAAAGGAAGATGTATAATATGTCCTTCGTGGATATGCATGCCTTTCTCAGTAGCATAATCTAAGCAAAGAGACTCATTGTACATTTTTATATATTAAAGAGTCTGAGTAAAATCAGTGTAAAAGATTACTCTCAAAATAGTGTGAAGAACAATTGGAGGGAAGGAAAAAGAAACAGGAGGTAAAATTACTCATAAATGGAATGGAATGATGAGAATGGTCCAAGAAAAGGAAATACTGATGCTCACCTGATCCAGCATTTTTGCCATCTCCTCCAATAAGTGGAACTGTAATGGCTGCAGGGCTTCCATCTGCAGGCAAACTGGTATAAACCATGGGTAAAGACTGTACTACAACTGGGATGGCCTTCAGTCCACCTATCTTATTTGGCAGACTGACTGAGGGGATAGTGTGTATCACATGCAAGATGTGCTGGCCACCGGTTCCCTGAGATGTGGGCAAGATAGAGCTTGCAGCAAGAACAGTAGGAATATTAGCTGGAGTGCTCATGTCAGATGTTGAAGTAGATATCCCAGGGGCCTGAGGAGAAGACTGTGGTTTGGAAGGACATATGGGAGCTTGAAGCATGCTAGCAGGCTGGAGAGGAGCTTTAGGCTTGTGAAACGAGAGGTCAACTGGTTCCACTTGGGGCAGGTTGAAATCATTATCCAGAAGTTCTTCTGGGGGCTCAATCTTGATGTCATTAAATAGTGCTGGGTTCTCCATAGGGCTGTCATCCAGGAGTGGTGGAGATGTGATATTACTTCTGTCTCTTGGCTCAGGGGTATCTCTGGTATGAATTGTGCTAGTGACCTAAAATCAGTAAACAAATAAGAAGCTAAAACAGCAATTTTTAGTACCTTAAAGCAATATGTAAAATATAAAGAATTCACTAATCTTTTCTCATTGAAAGAATACAAAGTATTGGAAGAATGAGATAGACATACACTAAAGAAAAACAGGAAAAAGAAATATTACTGACACTATTCAGGCAATTGATAAAAAGCATTTCATTTATTTCTCACAATATCCTTTAGTATTAAAGTCAACATTTTCTGAGCATTCTCCCTAATCATTGTGCCAAGCCTAGTGACAGTACATATAAAGTACACTAAGAATTAAATGCTGACATATTAATTATAGAATAATTTAAGTAACTTTCAAGTCTTACTATAATATGTGATGTGACATATAAAAGAGTTTCTTTAGAAAAAGAGAATGAATCATTCCATCTAGACAGGCATGGTTCAAAGAGGAAGTAGCATTTTAGGTTAGTCATAAAGAATGAATGAGGTTTCTCCAGGCAGAGAAAAGCTAAGAAAATTCTACCTGCAGAGATATAACAACAGAAAATATGGTTAGAAAATAATGATGCAATATTTTGTTGAATTACTTACAAAACTGAACCAAGAAACTTCTAAATTGTGAGATATTTTTTAAAAATACAGCTACTCAATATGGGCACACCAAATAAAAATAATTTAGTATGTCAGAGATATAGTTCCACTCCCATGTTCCTTTTAGCAAACACATAGAATAGAGAAGAAATGCAAATAACTAAGTGTCCATCATATGATGAATAAAAATGTTTGCATATATATTCAGCTGTACCGAATAATGAAATTTTGTCATTCTTTCCACACAGATGGAACTGGAGACAATTATATTAACAAAAACAACTCAGGTATAGAAAGACAAGTACTATGTGGCATCACTCATAAGTAGAATCTAAAAACGCTGATCTCAACTAGAAATGCAACTAAGCAGTAAAGCTCCTGCCTAGCAAGTACAAGGCTCTGAGTTTAGTTCCTGTTGCAACAAAAAGAGCCAATAAAAGAGATGATCTCACAGAACAGAATAGAACAATAGCTACTAAAGATTGGGTACAGAGGTAGGGCTAAGGATTGGGAAAGTTTGACCAACAAGTACTATGTTCAAATTGAACAGGAAAAGGAAGTTAGGTACAATAATAATGTATACTTTAAAAACTGGAAAAAATATTTTAAAAGTTTTCACCATGCAAAAATGAAAAATGAGGAGATTGATATATTTAACTTGATTTGAATATTCGTCAATATTTATATATATTGAAACTTTATATGGTACCCTATTGTTATGTGCAATTTTTGTTTATATGTCACTTTAAAAAAATTTAAAATTCTAATAAATGACTATTATATATATATTTTTTTCATACAATAATGTATAGCCACAATCTAATTAAAAGCTTTCTAGTAATTCCATGAATTTAAATGTCAAAGGTATTTTGGACTGTGATGCCAACACTTTGGATCTTGAAGATGGCCTTTAAAATGGCAACAATATTCTAGCCAATAAAAAAAACAGGCCTCTATTTTCTATCAGCATGATATTTGATTTATGGTAGTTTTAAATTATGAGATATTGAGAGTGTTTCCATCATAACAATAGAAACATCTTTTAGTTTTACATATTTGGAAGATGAGGGAAGATGTGTTTTAAGGAAAGGTTTGGTGGTAAAAGATAATTATTTGAAAGAGTGGAGTGATAAGGGTCAAACTATTTTTATATAATTTAACTAGCTCTTCAGTAAAGGTACAGGGAAAGAAAGAGTAAGCCTACATTGAAGGAGACTAAAAAGGAAGTGAGTTAGAAAAGAACTTGGTGAGACATTTAGAAAAAAAAATTAACATGGAATGGATACTGCCTGATACTAAAGAAATGTAAAATTCAAGGTGTGGTAATAACACAACCCTAACCCATCTGTATAATCTTGTTGGCAAGAGTGGGTGTGGGATTACGGGAGAAGCAGACAGAAAATGTAAAGATCAAATTTTCTCCACATAAAAATCCCCATCCTCTGACTCTTCCTTATCAATTTAAACTCATATTTTCCTCTTGGCTTTTTGCTTAGTTATCAGTGACATTGAGAAATGGAGGTAAAATAGACAGCATAAAAAGTGGTTAGATACAATATTATTTTCCATAACAATGTAGAATGTGGGTGCCAATATACATGGAAGACACATTTAGTCAATTTTTAGGGACTTTCTGCTTTTTAGGACAAGAATTATAAAAAAGGAGAAGCTCTGAATTGTAAACATAAAGTGGAGACTTTTTTTGGTAAACTTAGTCTCTTTTGCAACACAGAGGCTATTTCCAAGATGCTCAGTGTTGCTAAAAGTAACACTATTAGCTCAAGGCCTTCTGCTTAGCCGATATGTGATTTGCAGTTATACATTTTACTGAAAATACATTAGGAATATCAAAAATGGACACTGATTAAAGTATACAAACACACAGTCTTTGCTTATTCTCTTGATTAGATTATAATGTTACAGAGCCTTGCTCCATCAAGACAATCATTATTGTGTTTTGTTGACTAAGTAGCACCTGGTCTGTCATCTGTAAATTCTTTTTTAAAAAATCATTTATGCAAGAGGGTTTTATCACTTAACTGCCTTACCATCTTCATGTGGTTTGACAGAAATATTAGAAGACTAGGGGTTTTGGGGTCTAGTGTCTAATAGTCACTTTTTCAAAGATACTATCACATTTTTTCCTGTATATATCACTTTCAAATATGCCAGTTATAATTAAATTAATTCAGCCTATAACAAGTATTTTCTGTATTGTACTGCTATCTTCTAAAAGCAAATTTATACAAGAAAACAGTTTCCTCTGGAGTGTTAGTTGGCAAAATAGTTACAAGTTGCAGTTTATAGCCTTTCCATGACCTGAAAGGAAAACACCTAAAAAACACCTGCTCATCAAGTTGAAAGGGAATAAGATTTTCTGGGAATCATGAAATAGGTAACATTAAAGTTAAAAACCATAGAAAAACAGAAAGGCAATGTAGAAGAAAAAAATAATTGTTCTGTAACATAAATCCTGATTTCTAGGGTCCCATGGTGAACCCAACTCCACAAATACAAGGTACATCTGGAGAGGGACCACAGCTCCAGTGATTGGACAGGCAGAACAATCCAAAGGAAAAGAAAATTATTATTGTGAACTAAGAATCCAGTGTGAGGATTTACTCTGAAAGTGATTTTTCTCACACGATGGTCTAGGTTTAAAAAGGAAATTCACGGCAGGACTTGCAATATCCTGGAGTGATAAAACCAGGAGCCACTTTGAGAGAGGATTAGTGAGCAACTCTGAGAATCAGATGTTACAGAAAAACCAAACATCAGGGTCCCAGGAGATACTCTGATGCAGGGACTTGATGAGAGGCAGCTCTAAGAAACAAGAAGAGGAGGAGAATTAGTCACAGAACCTTTAAGAAGTTTAAGTAGTTGAAAACTCAGGCTATGGAGGGCATAATAGTTAGCAGCAACAGCTTCTGTGGTAAGAAGTGAGGCTATCATGTGTGATTTTCTGAAAAGGCTAGTTATGAAAACACTGGAGATGGAATTCAATGAATTCTTTAATTATACACCTCCAACACAAAAATTGGTAGCCTGTTTACTTTCCCCATCAGTAAGAACATGTTTGGGGATATGCTTTAGCTAGACCTTTGCCACATTCCTTGGTGATTAACAAGAGGTGCACTGGAGCAACTGTGAAACCCCAGTGATCCACAATGTCCAAAACTAGCTGGGGATTACAGTGGCTCAGAGAGCACAGAAGGACACAAATAAACACAAAGCCTCTGAAGTGAACAAAACCTTAATGTAGACAATATAACACTGACTACTCCTACAAGCAGTAAAAGGAAGGGACAAGGCTCAGCACTAAAAAAACAACAACCTGTTAATTTGTTATGGAAATCCAAGAGGTCCCAGTTGCTGCTTCCAACTCTTCACCTATACTTAGTGAATTCAAATAATAAAGGTCCTAGAAAGAAAAATTACTCACTCAAACATTTCAGAATGGAAGATTTTTTTTTGTACTTATTTGTTTTCAGACACGGTCTCACTGCACAATTTGAACTGGTCTTAAACTCACAATATAGCCCAGGCTGTCACTAAACTCACAGACAATGTCAAGCAAAAGTAGATAGCTATCCAACGTAACAGATACAAAATTGCCAACATAAAACACATGTGTTAGTGGATGAAAAGCTGCACAAATAATTCCAAAGATTGCTAATTAAAATTAACAGTGACTTCAAAGTTGTTGCACATAAAGAACTTAAAGAATGCAGAAAGATAATATAAAATATAAGGGAGCAATTCACCAAAAAATCTGAAGATAAAAACCCCATAATATTAGAAAATCACCACGTAGAGTGAGCAGTTGAATACAATGAAAAGAAAGTCAATAGAAAATTAAAGAAATGACAAGAATAAGTCAAAAAAATTCAGTAACACTCAAGTGAATGGTCTTAATTCCACAATCCAAACACATATTGTCAAAATGAATCAAGAAACAAAACTGGATGATATGATGTATGCATGAAACATATTTAATTTAAAAAGAAAGTTAAAAGATAAAAACTGGAGGAGGGAAACCAATGTCCCATGCCATGAGAATCTGAAAACAAGCAGAAGAAAGTATCTTATTTTCAGGCAAAGTCAATTTTAAGACAAAACTGATTGGAAGATACAAGAAGTGACTACATGTTGGTTAAGGGAACAATTCAAAAGGAAGAGATAAAAGTTATTAACATATATGCACTGGGGTATGACACAGCCAACTTCATAAAACAAGTACTAATGGAAATAAAAATGAGATGCACATCAGCACAATTATGGGGGAAAATCTCACCATGTTACTGTCACAAATGGATAGACCAACTAGATAAATCAGAAAATAAGTACAGAATAGAACAAAACTTAACAGATGGATTTAATAGATATTTGCAGAATTTTCAAACCACCAGTAACAGA